CAGCTGGTGTTGACTGAGGGCTGGGCCATGCCAGGAGGGCTTCTTCACATGGTGGCCGTGTCCCAGGAGAGCAAGAGTGTGAACTGCAAAGCCTCTTGAGGCCTAGGCTCAGAACTCACCAGCACTTCCGCTGTCTTCTATGGGTCAAAGCAAGTCAGAAGGCCAGTTCCATCTGGCCTTCATTGGTTGTGACTACAGAGAAGTGAGATTAATTGGCAATTAGTATGCTAATCTACCTAGCTGCCATATCAGAATTTTTAAAATAGTGTAATAAATTAATTTTAACATAATTGGCATCTTTTGTAATTCTCTCTTTTATGCCCTTTAAAATACTATTCTGATCGTCCAAGTTCAAAAGCAGGTGGAAGAAAAAAAATGAAAAAATAGGATTAAAATTTTAAAAAGGAAAAAAAAATACTATTCTGAGAAGAGGTTCATAGGCTTCACCACATTGTCAGAGAGGACATGGTACCATACAAGGTTAAGGGCCCCTAATGTGAAGTCAGGGAGATCTGGAGAGAGAAGTGAAAAAGTCCCAAGGCAGAGCAGGCTGGCGTGTCCAGTGGGACAGAGGAGCAGAAGGAAACCTGCTGTGGCTGGAACAGAGCGATTGAGGGGCAAAGTGGTTGGAGAGAGAGGCAGGGCCAGATCATGTGACTTGTATGGAAGATTCTGAAACTTTCAGAGAGATACCCCCTTCCCTCACACAGTATGAAAAGGGGGTATTGTATGTAGATTGTATTTTATGAGCTTTTTGGTGATTACTAACAATTTCCAGTTATCTTGGCTGAATTAAGGAAACTTTTTTGCTATTCCATACATCTAATGTGTTATCAGAGTCTGCTACTTATTTATTTATTTTTTTTTGAGACAGAGTCTGGCTCTGTTGCCTGGGCCAGAGTGCCGTGGCATCAGCCTAGCTCACAGCAACCTCAAACTCCTGGGCTCAAGTGATCCTCCTGCCTCAGCCTCCCGAGTAGCTGGGACTACAGGCATGCGCCACCATGCCCAGCTAATTTTTTCTATATATATATATTTTTTTAGTTGTCCAGATCATTTCTATTTTTTAGTAGAGACGGGGTCTCACTCTTGTTCAGGCTGGTCTTGAACTGCTGACCTTGAGCAATCCACCCGCCTTGGCCTCCCAGAGTGCTAGGATTACAGGCGTGAGCCACCGCGCCCGGCCCAGAGTCTGCTACTTATAAAGGATGCTTGGGCAGTAGCTTTCTCAAGCTGAGAAGACCACATTTCTTTTTTTGTTTGTTTTTTTGAGACAGGGTCTCACTCTGTCACCTGGGTTAGAGTGCAGGGGCTCATCATAGCTCACTGCAACCTCAAACTCCTGGACTTAAGCAATCCTCCTGCCTCAGCCTCCTGAGTAGCTGGGACTGCAGGTGCGCACCACCTCGCCCAGCTAATTATCCTGCTCAGGTTGGTCTCGAATTCCTGGCCTCAAGCGATCCTCCCGCCACAGCCTCCCAGAGTGCTAGGATTACAGGCAAGAGCCACTGTGCCCAGCCATAATACCACATTTCAACAGAATTATGTACGAGTATTTACTGTTCCATAAATCCAGTCATATTTGCTTGAAATAATTTCCTTCAGAGAGATAAGACACAGAAGCCCTTTTTAGTTTTTAGGAAAATCATGGAAGCTATTGGTGAGGTTTTTTTTAAGCTAGCAAACTCTATTTCCAGAACACTTCTGTGTTGTCATAACTTGTGACCTATAGCAGGACAGAATTCCTTTGGTCTAAAGCATTGGTATAAAGGGAAGCTGAAAAGGGAGGATTAGGCCATTGTCAATTAATGGAGCAGGCACAGGTGAATTAGAGGTGTCAGTTTATTACAATGAGACCTAAAGCAAGAAAAGCCAATCTGGAAGCATTCTGACTAACAAGGAACTCAAACGTCTTATGTATAAATGATGTTACATATAGTAAGTCAAATACAGGTTTCCAAGACAACCAATTAGTATGTATGGGCTCAGGATTGATTATTACATTCCACAAGAGATTACATTTAATTGGTGAAGTCTACACATCTCTAGGCAACTCCGTACAATCTAGCCAGAGAGCTTTTACGATGACAAGATACAGAATGGATAAAAATCTTGATAGCAAAGGGCCTTGGCCCTGCCCAAGTTAGGATTTATATTCATATTATCACCAAGTCAAACGTCTTGCCAACTGTCTTAGCTCTCCTCCTCATCAGACTGCAGTTCGTGAGTGTTTGTGTTGTGACAAAGACTCTCTCCTTGACCAAACTTTAGTCACGCTCTGCTGACTCCCCTTTTGGATGAGACTTCAACCTTGTCGCACATCCACCTTTGGCCTCCCCAGCCCAGCCTTTAACAAAGATTTCTGCTAAGTCATCCCTACCCCTTGATAGCTGATCAAGTTCTTCATTCCTCCCATCTTTTGGATTTCTAAGTCCTTAGCAAGAATCTTGTCAAGCAAGTTTAGCAAGAATCCCCTACCCCGAATGTCTCCTTTTAGTAACTTCACATCCTTTGACCCCCTCACTCTGGTCCTTGGCTGTAAATCCTCACTTGTCCCTGCCGGATTCAGATTTGAGCCTCATCTCTCTCCCCTCCAGTTGCAGTGGTCTTGAATGACGTCTTCCTTACCATTTTAACAAGTGTCAGAATGATTTTTTTGACATCTTTCTTCTCACCAAAGTCAACAACTCCTTATCCTCCCAAGACCCCGAGCCAACAACCACTATTTAAAGATTGCAGTGTCGTGTCTGCCTTAGAATGACTTTTTTATTAGCTAGAACTAAATCAATGATTTTGGAGCTGAATTTTCTGTTTTTACATGGAAGATTATGTGTTTATAATTTGCTCTCTTCACATAAGCAGAAGCAGAACCAGGGAGAGCTGTGCTCAGGGATGAAGTCAGTAGGGAAAAAGTCTCCATGTTCAGACAGAGGTGACTATAAAAAACAGAGTCAAAGGGGGTTATGTGAAGTTCAAAATCTTTAGAAAGTGAAGCAAGATGAGAGACAGTTGAGAACATACACTGAAAATCAGATATCCTCTTAGGGATGTCCCTCTGTTAGGACAGAGACCTTTAAGAATTTTCCAGGGCTTGCACATGTCACTCCCCCTCCTGCAAAGGTAATATTGCACTGGCTTCTGTCACCATTGATTAGTTTTGTGTGTGTATTCTCTTTTCAGTGCTGCCATAGCAAAGTACCACAAACTGGGTGGCTTAAAACAATAGAAATTTATCTTCTTACAGTTCTGGAGGCTAGAACTCTGCAATCAAGGTGTCAGCAGGGCTGTGCTCCCTCTGACAACTCTAGGGGAGGATCTTTGCTCTTCCTAGCGGTGTCTGCTGGCAGTCCTTGGTGTTCCTTGGCTTGTGGATGCATCATTCCAGTCTTTGCCTCAGTGGTCATATGGCCATCTTTTCCCTATGTTTTTTCTCATAGTCTTCTTCCCTCTATGTGTGCCTGTCTCTGTGGCCAAATTTCCCCCTTTGATAAAGACACCAGTCATATTGGATTGGGCCTACCCTAATGACCTCATTTTAACTTTTATCTTTGTGAAGACTGTGTGAGTGAGGACTTCAACATACCTTTTAGGGGAGACACTTTAATCCACATAGCATGTTTTTGAGCTTTTCCTACAGAATTATACCGTTTGTAGACTTTTGCACCTGGCCTATTTCAGTCAACATTATATTAATGAGATTCATCCATGTTGCAAGTACTTTATTCATTGTCAATCCTACATACTCCTATATCAAGGCTCTGCAAATTTTAGCCTGAAGGCCAAATGCAGTCGTGATTCATTTTCTTTCCCATATGGATAGCCAAGTATTACATAAGAAAATGTAGTCTTTGGTTTCTATAGTACTATTTCCCCACATTTCTCTTGGTTTGAATAGGAAACTAATTTAATGAATCCTAAATTAAAAGAAAACTTTTGGCCGGGCACGGTGGCTCACGCCCGTAATCCTAGCACTCTGGGAGGCTGAGGCGGGCGGATTGTTTGAGCTCAGGAGTTCCAAACCAGCCTGAGCAAGAGCGAGACCCCGTCTCTACTAAAAATAGAAAGAAATTAATCAGACAACTAAAAATATATAGAAAAAATTAGCCGGGCATGGTGGCACATGCCTGTAGTCCCACCTACCTGGGAGGCTGAGGCAGAAGGATTGCTTGAGCCCAGGAGTTTGAGGTTGCTGTGAGCTATGATGACGCCACAGCACTCTACCCCAGGCAACAGAGTGAGACTCTGTCTCAAAAAAAAAAAAAAAAAAAAAAAAAAAATTGCTTTATTTATATCTTGCACCTTTGCACATAAGACCCAGTAATACATGTTTGTTATTAAAAACAAAATCACATGATCCAGAAGGATATAAAATCAAAGTAATAGGCTTCTCTACATATCCCTATGTCTTTCCCAGCCCAACCCTTTATAAATAACCATTATTGACAGTTTTTTGGGTATTCTTACAGATATTTTCATGATGCAGAAGTGTACATGTGTCTGTGTATATGCATGTGCCCATGTATTTTTAACACAAATGGGATCCTAACATGCATACTAATCTATAACTTGCTATTTACATGTAATAATGTATTGTGTCTATATTTCCATGTTAGTTCATTAAAATTCCTCCTCATTCTTTTTTTCTCATTCTATTTAATTTTATAATGTTCTATTCAATGGATGCATGATAATTTATCATTCCCCAAATAGTAAACGTTTAGACTATTTCCAACTCTTTGTGTAAGTATTTGTGGATTTATTTCTCTTTTTATTTGCTTCTATGAAAATATATTTAAGAATGATTTTTAGATGTCACATTGCTATGTCATATGTATGCACTTCTAAATTTTTGACATATATCACTGAATTGCCATTCAAGAAAAGGCAACAGCAATTTATACCCATGAGGTGTTTTTATTATTTTTAACTACCAGGACTTCACACCTCATAAAACCTAGAATAAGGAGGCTTTGTATTGATTGTTTATTCTATTGTTTCAGAACAATGAGATGGTGGAGCTACAGAGAATACGGATGAAAGATGAAATTCGAGAATATAAATTCCGGGAAGCCCGACTCCTTCAGGACTATACTGAACTAGAAGAAGAAAATATCACGTTGCAGAAACTCGTGTCCACATTGAAGCAGAACCAGGTAAGGTTTAAGAAGTTTTTTGAGTTATACTCCAGATGGATCCACATCTTCTGACCACCAAGTTTAAATCTCCTCCTTATGTCTCAGGAAGGAAATTGTCAAAATTTATTATTACTCCTTAATCTTCTCCTTGTAATAGTCATGTGCTGAAATGTCCCAACCGTGCTATTTCAGCTGAAATGTAGAAGGAAAAAATACAGCTATGAGTAGTACAGTGTACAATAAAGATTTATTAAAGAAGAAGAATTTTAGTTTATCCTTTAGCTGTGTGTTAATTTATTTCAGGAGTAAGTTAAAAGTATCAGAATAAATGTAACCTGATGGCTTCTCATTAAAAGCCTGAGTCTGTAAGCTTCTTTTATACTACAGGCTTAAGATGTTCCTGCAATCACATGTCTTTTACTCTTTATTTTTTCTGTAAATTGCTTTCAAATCATAGAGGGAAAGGGATAATAAAGTATAAATCAATAAGAACAAAATCATAAGAAAAAGAAAATGCCTGATTTCCTTTTCAGGTGTAACCTGACTACAAAGATTACATTTGTTCATTTAAATAATTGTTTTCTGCAGCAAGATTTAGATAGTTTAATTTTCCTGATTGGTTTGCATTGTAGTATTTCCCAGTATATTCAAGAATTTAATAAATCTTGAATATTTGATTCTAGAAGAATTTATTTATGAATATAGTTATAGCAAGTAATTAAGGGAAAAGTGAATTGAATGTTCAAGCTCTTTTCAAGGTGCTTCCTCAACCACAACCTCTATTCTGGTCTGAATGCTATTGTGCCCTCTCAGTTCAGGTCAACAAACTAGGTGCCAGGCTCTGTGCTAGGCTGGGCAGATACAAGAATCCACAGGGTCTGATTCTTGTCCTTGGTAAACTTAGAAGCCAGCCCAGATGGATGCTTCCACTTCTACTCCCTTCTCAAGCTGGTATCTGTGTCCCAGATATAATTGGTTTTGATAGATAGGAGGGTTAAGAGGGAAAAGGAAAAATCCAGAAAAGAAAAAAAATCCATATAGTGAACAATTGAAATTTGATTTGTGGTCATTGCAGCTTCCTCCCAACTTTGGAGTGTTGGGGGAACTTAAGTGCAGGGGAAAGTTTCTGTCCATTACCAGGCTCTTCCCGTGTTACTGCGTTCCTTCCCCTTTGAGCACGGAATCCCGTGTGTGTGCTGGGGGCTGGCAGTTCCAGAGGCACCAGCTCTTGGTTTGGCTGGGGTAAATGAGCTCACAGTGGAGAGAAATTAAAACTTAGAAGAATATTTTTAAAAAGATGCTTCTCAAATAGTTCTTAAAATAAGAAGGGTACATTTTTTTTCTTTGGTTCTTTTTTTGGTCACTGATGAAGCACGTTGAGGATTTGAAACAAATTTACTTGAAGTGCAAATATTTAAAGTGGCCCTTCCTCCCCATTCCTGGGATTCTCACTGTGCTCTGCACGGGAGAGTCCTCCATGTCTGCACGTGGTCCACTGATTTACTCAGGAGGTTAACGAAGGCCAGGGTTAGGTATTCTTGAAAGACTACCAAGGTATCCGTGAATATTCATTAACCCAGACGCCGTTTGTGGGGGAATTTGTACTGTCAGTCTGGCCGAGTACGTAGTTTCCCAGCACCCTTCTCACAGTAATTGAAACATGGAAGACAATGGTTAACTCAGAAGTTTAACAAAAGGGGGGGAAGAGATTTCTAGATCTCTTTAATTTTATTTTCTAGATGTCATATAGTAATTTTCCCAATTAATTGTCTGATTAATTAATTCAAAATCATTTTCTGTACAGAGGGCCATGCTGGCTTACTCCTTGACAGTTGGGTACATGGTAATGCCCGAAGTCTCTCCAGTTAAGGAAATGCTATGTCTGTGTCCTACTGTTAGCCTTTATTTACAGATGTTAGCATCTGTCATAAACTCTCTTTCTAATTAATGAAGTAGTAAGTATAATATTTTACGTACAAATGCCACGTTTTTTTTTTTTTTAAGAGATGACAACAGTTGGCATTCATCACAAAATAGGGCTGAGTGTTGCTTTGTGCGGAAGCCCCACACTAATCATACGGTCTTTCAGCCTGGTTTGATGTTTCCTGAAACAGCAAAGCCGTTGTAAAATGCTTAGTTCAAAGAAGATTCTTCTCTTTAAGTTTTATTTTTCTCTTAACTATTGTTTTCTAAATACAGTGTAATTGTTTAAGTAACACCTATTTATTAATTTGTTTATTTTCCATGTGTCTCCACTAATATTAATATTTAATATGTAGACCCTAGGCTGGGCGCGGTGGCTCACGCCTGTAATCCTAGCACTCTGGGAGGCCGAGGTGGGCGGATTGTTTGAGCTCAGGAGTTCGACAAGAGCGAGACCCCGTCTCTACAAAAATTAGAAAGAAATTAATTGGACAACTAAAAATATATAGAAAAAATTAGCCGGGCATGGTGGCGCATGCCTGTAGTCCCAGCTACTTGGGAGGCTGAGGCAGGAGGATCGCTTGAGCCCAGGAGTTTGAGGTTGCTGTGAGCTAGGCTGACGCCACGGCACTCTAGCCAGGGCAACACAGTGAGACTCTTTCTCAAAAAAAAAAAAAAAAATCGGGTCTGGCTGACAGTAGACATTAAACAGATACTTGTTGAAAAAATGAAAAAAACATGTTTTCTTTCTCTTACATTCACAGTTCAATTTAGAGAGGGAACTACAATTTAAGATTTTAATTGACCATACCAGTTTTTATTTGTGATGCTAAATATGAAATATATGGAAGCATTAAAGAAGGAACTCTGAAATTGTAGCTATAGCCCTCTGTGTGCTGATTTGGTTCTGTGTCCAAAATAAAATCAAGTCTGACCTTATAGACACACACATTTTACATCTTTATACTTTTCAAACCAAAATATTTGAAAGAAGTGTAAGAAGCAGCAGCCGTCATACAGAGAAGTCACATCAACTATCAGTTCCCCAACAGACCACCAACAGAATCTATCAGTCAAACAAAGCTATTTATTAGACACCTCACAGCAAGAGAGACCACCTTGACAGAGCCAAAAGGGAGATTTAGAGATAAGGGTTTTAGTATTGGGACTGGGTGATTTTCAGGTAGGTTTTGCATGGCAGGAAACTGGTCGGGACAGACAGAGTTTGTGACAGAGCTTCGAGCTGGGAGACACAGCAAAGTGAGGGTGTTGACGTGAATCTTGTGGAAGTTGTTTCATTTGGGTCAGAGTCTTATCTTCCAGGAGCCAAATATTTCCCTCAAGCAACTAAACTTTTTGTGTGTCTGGTCCCATTATTTTATTTTACTTTCTTTGGTTTATTTTAGTTTATTTGGAGACAGGGTCTCACTTTGTTGACTGGGCATGAGGGCAGTGGCATGATCATAGCTCACTTCAACCTCAAACTCCTGAGCTCAAGTGATCCTCCTGCCTCAGCCTCCTGAGTAGCTGGGACTGCAGTCATGTGCACCACCACACCTGGCTAATTTTTCTATTTTTTGTAGAGACAGGGTCTCGCTGTGTTGCTCAGGCTGGTCTTGAACTCCTGACCTCAAGCAATCTTCCCACTTTGGCCTACCAAAATGCTGGAATTACAGGCATGAGCCACCACACCCGGCTATGGTCCCATTATTGTTTAACACAGAGGCAGGAAAAAACGTGCCTGGTCCCAGTACTACTTAACATACGGCATGATAATTAAGTTAGTTTCAATTTTTAGAGATGTGATAGTGACAAGAGGGAAGAAATAATAAGCATCACGTGCCTTATGTCCCACATATGGAATTGAAACAATCAATTTTTGTTATCTAAGCGTTGAAAACCCTTGTTAAAAATTAACAATTCAATCATACTTCTATTATGAAGAGCATTTCCTCCAAGGATATATTTCTGTATCAGGTAATAATATCATAAGAGACCTAGGGAATGTATTCAATTAATTTTTATTTCATTTAACCAGTATTTCAGGAATATCTTTCTATGAGGCCATGTACTTTTTTAAAGACAAAAGATATGTTCACTGACTCAAAGAGTTTATAGTCCCAGTAGGGAAGGTGGGTAATAAACTCCAGCAATTTGTATAAATGCATATGAAAGCCATGTGTTCGGTTTGGCAGTATGGACCCAGATTAAGATCTTTAGAGTTCCTAAGCTCTGAAAAGATAATGGTACCTACCCATGACCTCATGTAGTTAAAAATCAAAAGAGTTACTAAGCTGTGAAGTTACCATAAGGAATCCTAACAAAGTACTGATTTTTCTCATGATGACTACTTTGATGTTGTCTTTAAAATATCAAACACCAATTTTTAAGCACCTTTTCATTCTGTTTCTCGGTCGCTCCACTTTACTGGGGCTCTAATCGTATGATGCAGCCCAACAACAGTGGTACAGAAAGGAGTCATCAGTTTGCCTCCATGGGTCAACAAACACTTCACAGTTAGGATCAGATTCGTAGGTCTTAGATGATGAATATAAGAGTTTTGCAGATGATAGCCTTTTCCCAGGCAGAGAAACATGAAATAGCTAAGAGGTAGGCCAGGTTCAGTGGCCCATACCTGTAATCCCAGCACTTTGAGCGGCCAAGGTGGAAGGATCCCTTGAGCCCAGGAGTTTGAGACCAGCCTGAGCAACATAGCAAGACCTCCACTCTACAAAATAAATTAAAAAAGAAAAAATTAGTAGGGCATAGTGGCACATGCCTATAGTCCCAGTTACTTGGGAGGCTAAGGCAGGAGAATCACTTGAGCCCAGGAGTTCCAGGCTTCAGTGACCTATGATCTCACTGTACTCCAGCCTAGGGTGACAGAGCAAGACCCTGTCTCAAATAAAAAAAAAAAGAAAATAGTAGCAGCCTGCACCACGTTTGAGTGAGTGGTATGAGTGAAGCTGCCCAGATAAAAAGAGATCAGGTATTATGGGAAGTCTAGGCCAACAACTGAATAAAGATTACAGAATTTAAAAAGCTACAATGCAAGCTAATTAATGTCCTCAAGTCTAGCCCAGGAGTTAGCAAACTTTTCTATAATGGGCCAGACAGTAAATATTTTAGATTTTTTAGGCTGTACAGTCTCTCTTGCAACTATTTCCACCTGCTCTTATAGTATGAAAAGCAGCCAAAGACAATATGTAAATAAATTAGCATGCCTATGTTCCAGTAAAACTTTATTTACAAAAATGTGGTGGGCTGGATTTGGTCCAGAGGACATAGTACTATTTCACAACCTCTGGTTTAGGACATCAGTTTAACAAAGATTCCAGCATAAAAGGTCTACAACTCAAACTCAATTAATGCCTGCAAATGTAAGCTATCATGTAATCTGGGCAGTCAGAGGGTTGGTTGAAATACTTAGGAAAGATGGGCAAGAGGGTGTCCTGTGTTGTCCAGAGTCAGAAAGGAAGAGGTCTGGAGAAAGATGACTTTGTATTGTATAAGCTGGCCTGGAAGAAACCGTGACACATGCACACGGACTCTGTTCCGTACAATTTGCAGGCTAGTTTCCTCATATCCATGTTGAGAGCAACCCTTGTTTCTCCTTCGGTAAGGGGGTAAAAGGCTCTTCTGATTTCCAAACCCCTTTAATCCCAGGTCACTTGCAGAGCACTAAATTCTGCTCAGGGTGGTTTTATGGGTTCCTCTCTTCCTTCCCACTTTACCCTCAATTTCTCTTATTTCCTTGCTAACAACTGAGAATCCTATAATCAGGGAATGAAATTTTCATTCCACTACCAGAGATAAAGTGAAAAATACACCTTTTTGGTTGAGGTAACAACCCAGTTGAAGTGCATTCAATCAGCAAATGTAAAGGAAAAGTGGTTGGATTCTTTAGTTTTGCTAGGTAGGAAAAGTTGAAGAGAGCCCCAGGGCAGGAGCAGCAAACTCAAATGACCACAGGCAGCTTATAATTAGCATTAATAAATATAAGGATGTAAAGAAAAAGTAAATCTAGAAGGAACAGTCATTGCTCAGCTAGAGGTGATTTTTGTCCTCTGGGAAGATAGGCCCGGCATTGCCTGAATTTCTGATTTTTTTTAAAAGACAAGCTAGACATTTAAAAATGTTTGTGAAATCATCAGATTTCTACATATTGGCAATCCATTCAAAAAGTTTTATAACATTTTGCAAGCCAAACAAAACACATTTACACGCTAGATGGTCTGCAGGTGCCATTTGGTGATCTCTGCTCTGAAATTATTTGATGTCTGAACTGAGGGACACTGGAACATGAGGAGAAGTGATACGGGCAATTTTGATATCCTTAAAGGGAGAACGTGTGCTCCTACTTTGTTCCACTGCTTGGGACATGATCAAGATGGCAAGCCACCTTAGATCGTGCAGACTAGAGTAGAAGACAGTGCAACAAGCAAAAAGGAGCCGGGTTCCTGGATGACCCCATGGAGCAGAGATTCCCTACTGGCCCTTGACTGTCCACCTCCAAACTGTTACCTGAGAGAGAAACAAACTTCCATCTTGACTAAGTCACTTTCGTTTAGGGCTCAGTAACATCAGGTGAACTCACATCTCAACTATACCCTAACCTTTGCAACACAAACATTGCTTTGAGATTATGTGAAGGAACATGGGGGCAGAAATAGATATATATGAAAATGATAATGGTCTATGATCCCTATTCTTTCGTTTTTAAAATCTTTTTTAAAATTTAAGTTCAAACTAATATAAATACTAAAATAAATATAAAACTAAGGACATAGTTTATAGCAGTATCTAATATCATGATGACTTGATATTACTTCTTCTAGTTTATTTTTCATTCACAGTAGTTATTTGTTTAGCAAATGCTTATTGAGGAGCAGAATTCTGTTTTAAACACCATGAAAGAGGCCGGGCGCGGTGGCTCATGCCTGTAATCCTAGCACTCTGGGAGGCCGAGGCGGGCGGATTGTTTGAGCTCAGGAGTTC